GCCCTCAGGAAGTATAGCCATTGTTGTGCCTTCTTTATCAGACATTTGGAGCTGTGTGTCCCTGTGAGGTCCTCTGATAAGTTTGTGTCCAGGAACTTGAACTGTGACACCCTCTCCACCTGCTCCCTATTTATTGTGAGTGACTAGCGCTCCACCTTTTTCCTTCTTGGGTCAGTGAGGATTTCTTTGGCTTTGTTGGTGTTCTATTATGAACATTTTACACTAAATTGGCACACATTCTGCAGAAATATTTAGGCATTGCTGTTTGATTTGAACCCTGGATGCACCACTGGAGCCGTTTGATCCAGCTTGGTTTCACTCAGGCTAGTGCTTTGCTCCGTAACCATGGCCAATGAATGGGAAACACTGAATTATTGACCATTTGCACCAGTGTCACCTAATCATGTGGGTCTACCATATTGGTTGGCAAAAGCATGTAAACAGTGAGCGACATGAGTACTAAACAACGGGAAAAGTAGAGGCTGAAATGATTTTTTGCGATCTTTAGCATTCCGTCAACTGGTTCAAGACCACAGAGAGCGGTATGCTAACTAGCTTACAACCGTTAGCTTAAGCTCTCTCTGCGGCTGCTCACCGATGTAAACAAGTTGCCAACTTTGCCAAAATTCACCCTTCTGGATTTATAACGTTGTTATAAACAGCGTTTCACTTTACACCTAAGCTGATTTTAAAAAAAGTCCAGATCCCTACTAGTGTTTGTTGCTGTTGGTGTCACCAGGTTCAGCTGCTGCTCTCACACTGTGATGAGACGATCACTCTGAATGGTGACGCTCATACTAAATAAATAAAAATAATATTTTAAATACTTATCTCGCATTTCTACCACAGTGGACGGTATCGCACGTCCTCCGTGGTGAAATATCCATCCATTAGAATTATCAATAAGTCGAATAAACACTTCACGTTTATCCACGTACCTGTCTTCCTCATGAAGCAAAACAATTGCCAGAAATCGCCCCACTGGATTTATAACATCATGTGATAAAAAAAAGTGTTTAATTTTACACTGAAAGTAAAAAGTACGTCACATAATTGATATGAATATTCCAGCATTTGTAATAAAACAGCATTACTAAAGGGGGAAAACTTTAATATCAGTATGAATGTATGACTTTTATCAAGCAAAGAGCAAGTTACCGCATGAGGAAAATGCACTTTTGGGTCACTTTCAGCCGAAAATTTTTGGTGGATCCCTAGTTCAAATCCTGCCTGTTGTTGTTGTGACAGGACAACTAAGCCTAAAATGTTTATAAGACCACAGCTGCTTTGTAGATTTTTATGTTCCAGGATGGGGGAACTCAGGTGCTTAAAAATTTTTTATCCAATTTTTTGAGAGAAGAAAGTCTTCACACTTTAATGACACAACCACATAAACCGACTGTGCCATACGCTGATTTTTAAAAGGTGAAAACATCCCCAGATGTATAATTTGTTGCCCAGCCTGGCATGTATAAAGTCATTTCCCTTAGAAGAGAAGAAGTTGGTATGAAAGCATGTGGAGGAGTTCGTCTGAGAGCTCAAGGATCAAAACACTCTTTTATACGAGCTCGCTCTACAAGTTAGCGCACGACCCTGCCCTCCCACAGCACCGAGCTCTCTGTCACACACATCAACATGGTTGGTGTTTTTTTATTATTCACCTGCAGCTCATTGTTTAATCAAAAATAATCACTCGCCTAAAGCATCCCAATAACTCTTTTCTCTTTCATTGCTCTATTGGCTGCTGACGCGATCTCTACTATTAAAAACTTTGAATTAGAAAATGTTCAAGTCTGGAAAATGTCTTTCTGTCGAGTCCACGGACATCTCCCTTTTTGTAAGCTGTTGTGATTGAAGAAATGTGCAAAAGACCTCTAGAATTCTCTAGAATCCTATAGGGTGCACATGTTATTGGCGAAGAAATGGGATGAGGATGATGAAGCAAATAAAGAAGCGTTGCTGGGGGGGGGGGGGGGGGATGATTTGCACTAAATAACGACCGTCAATCCGGAACGTTGAAACACCAGAATACTAAAAAAATAGGTTTCTGGTGACTTTGACGGAGAAAATATATGATTTAGAGACATGAATGTAAGAAACCAGGTGACTCTAGGATTTCCATCTTCATGGTTTCCTGATACAGATGTTTTCTTCACCTTGTCCAGACTTGAAATGTCTATTTTTGATGTTCAGGTCATGTCAGTAATTATTAAAACTGTGATATTAACGATGACGATTGACAGTTTTTCTTATCCTACAAATCTGACTTGTTTTATAATCTCCTACCCTGCTGCTGTAACTCAACGCCTGTGTTTCCACCAATCCCCTCAGCTTTCATTACGAGTTTCCAAACCCCGTGTGCTAATGGCCAAGAGGTCAGCAGGTCGACCACCGAGCCTTCGCCATGGAGACCACAGCTCACCACCATCACAGTGTCCAAGAAGCGCAACTGGCTGCAGCAGAGTTCCCAGTCAAAGAGTCTGTGCACCAGGGATGAGCTGCAGGGAGCTGAGGAGGAAGGTAGCCAGTGCTCCCACCAGCTGCCGCCGCCTCCTCCCAGTCCCTCTCCAGACCACCTGAGACCCACAGGAGGAGCACCGCCTCGTCCTGTTCGCCTGCAGCTTCCTCAGGTTAATTGTTTGGTAGTTTTGAGTATTTATGTGAAATGAGACCCAAGAAACAGCACATTGGCTTAGACTGCCTAATTATCATTTTCAGGTAACCACTGGTCAGACAAAGGTCTCTCCTCACCCTCGGAGAGTCGACCCAGCGGAAGAGAACGATGCGGATGATGAGGGAGACATTTGGTACAACCCAATCCCCGAGGACGACGAGCCGGGGACATCTCACCACCCGACTGTCCGGCTGATTGTCACGCCTCAACCCGAGACTCAGCGGAGGCCCAGCAGGGGGGCGGACACGGCTCAGATGGAGGGCTCCAGCGGGCCGGAGGTGTTCCCAGAAAGCCTCAGCGGTGGATCAGGAGACGTGAGCCTGGGGAATGTTGCACACTCTGCAGAGCCGCCACATCTGCACAGACAGATGCTTGCATGCAAACCTCAAGAGGAGGGGGAGCCTTCACAGAGCAAACCCACAGGTAAGAAAAAGGCAGGTTTATTCCTTCCCGCTCTTCACTTGTTTTCTCATCACCTGTTTGATTCAGTTGCTTGAGCACCAACTACTTTTCTCTCCGTCCGTCACTGAGCAAATTTTTGTGGTTGTTCATGCTGATTCCAGTCAGTGCTGATGGTGTTCCTAATCAACAGATTTTAGTTTTATTACTTTTTTTTTTGGCAAAGATGGTGAAGATAAAACCCTCAACAATTTCCTTGTGGGATTTTAAATCTCTAGACCAGATAATTGTATTCACAGATCCCGGTCTTACAAATTAGCCTTGAGTGGAGTCAGGGCTGGGGTGGGGAGAGTCGATCAACATCTACATTTCATCACAGTAAGCAGTCATGTTTATTCCCACTGTGGACTCCTTAATCAAAGCAGTCTAATTGTATCACTGAACCTCATTAGTTACAGTCAGAAAGGAGGAATTCAGAGCTCCTGAGAGATGTTTGAGATCAAGTTCATTGCAGAATATGAAGGTTGAGCAGAATTTCAAATTTCCCCAGTCAGTATTTTTCAGTCCCAAAAATAACTATGGGTGATGTATTCACGCAGGAGACATTTAGATGATTTGTGCGTCCGACACACACTGAACAGAGCGATGCACCAATCACATTTGTTCTTACTTGGCTTGCAAAAGCAGGTCATGAGGGTTCCTCAAGCTTGAGATTTGAGTTTCATTTGCCTTTTGATGCGTCAGTCGACAACGTGCACAGTTGGTTTGAGCTACACATGATAGTAAGGAGGCGGTACTTCTGATCTGTCAGCCAATAGTTGAAGAGTTTGCCTCAACAAAAGGGGATAACCCCTCACCTGTTGGATCAGGTGAAATATTGATCAAAGGTTTGAAGCTAATGTGAGGACGCTAACAGGTGTTTTGGGTGAGGAAAAGACTCATCTTAGGGAAGTTTAAAATATTTTCAGGTGAATTTTATACTGAATTGTGAAGACAAGACTTGTTGTTAAAGGTCTGGAACACTGAACTCTGAGTTTGTTATGCAGGCTGAACATGAAAATAGTCTCCTACACCTAGCTCCTGCATTAACTTCATATAGAAAAGAAACGGTGAAACTCGAGGATTTAAAAATCCTGACAGATCTATGTCACACTGTCACTTAACTCTTATGGAATTACCCATCTTGACTTGCGATGGGGAAGGCTGTTGTTGGTTTACCGTCCAAGTAACATCTCGGCTAGTAGAAGCTAACTATTAGCATTAGCAACTCCACAACACATCAGAACTCCTTCAGGCTTGTGCTATTTGTGTCGATAAAACATCCAGGTTGCAGAGTAAACATAGTCAGTGGTAAGGTTGTGTTGCTGTTAGCAAATCAGAGGCCAGATGTCTAAATACCAGGAAATAAGACTCCAAATCCTGCCATGTTGAGCTCTCCTCTGATGTGGCATTCTGCAAGTTCCTGAAACAGGAGCATCTGGGCTATTCTTCCCCCGAGTACGACTTTTAAGGCATTCATTTCCACTAGAGACCACTGCAAATGTAATGATTAAATGAGTGTCCCACACCTTTAACAACAATATTTTTTACTGGAGAACTTTTATTGGACCCTTCTGAAAAAAGCACCTTTTTTTAAATTGATTTTTTATGTAAATGAAATGAGGCTTCGAACAGTGAGTGATCACCAGTTTGGTAAACTAAGCATTAACCTTAGAAATCTATCCAATGGTGAGTTAGACATAAATGTGAGTATATGAGAGCTTTGACAACAGTGAGTGCTGTGTCTTTAGCTATGATTGTAACCCTGATTGCAATGCGGTGTTAGAATCAAAAGAACCCTAGCTTTCTAATGAGATATAACTTGTGTGTGCATAGAATTATTTTAGTAACAATGCTTGTCCCATCTGTAAGACTTATTCAGGGGCTTAAAAATATTGTTCGTAAAAAAACAAATAGGTAAAACGATTGAAGAGAGGCTAGGCCTATCGCCAATGGTTGATACATTTGTCAGATCACCCTACATTACTAAATGACGGACGATAATTCTTATTTTTAAGATATAATTTTATTGGAAAACTCGGAGACACATCCAGTGTTAGGGAGATCTCGTTGTTCCGTTAGAATGAAGGTGGTAAAAACTGCTGCCACCTATCAGTCAGAGTTTGAATTGCACCACACAGAAGAATTACCGGAAACGTTTGATTGTAAATTCTCAATAAAAATGTATTCACTGCCTTTAAATATTGATCATAGCGCAAATCTTCTGAATATTTCAGTGTATGGATATTTTCATGCATACCCAGTGATTTCTGTAAATTAAAAGTTTCGAAGGAGAGATGGAACTCGCGGAAAGCTCTTCTCGTTTCCTGTTGTGTCTGATGGCGACGACAGCCAGCGTGCAGCTCCCCGTCTCTCCTCCCGCTTGGCTTTTTACTCTCTGTGATGTGGCAACATGGTAGCTCGAACCATTTGGCGCATCTCGAACAGAGCCGATAATTACAACGCTTTTCTGTGGCACGCAACAGCTACTCCAGTTGAATGAGCACAAAGCCAGCCTGAATAGTTTGGCTGATACTTGAGCTATTATGTTGACGGCAACAGTTTTATAGCACGGCTTGAAATGAACTCTGTAATGGCTTTCCCTCACAAAAGGATCCAGCCTCTAAGATTTAAAACCGCAGTAACTGAGACAGTAAACTGCAGACTTTTCCTTCTTTAAAGCAATTATGTGATGCAGCAGAGGCGTGTTACTCTCAACACAAATTACCCTCGCGTTCTGATTGGTGGCTCATGAACTCATTTGTTCTCATGACTGGTGTTAAACAGCCTGTCGTGAGAGATTTTCTGCTTGGGATTAGGATTAAACCAGTCCTGGATGAGCCTCCTTGCAGCATCATGCAACAGGGAGCTAGTTAAATGACATTTCATGCTAATTCTAGGTGTGCAGAAACCTTTCATATTGCAGAAATCATTAGTGTCTTATATACGACGGGATACGAGGGCCGCTCAGAGGAAGAAAACTCAATCAGGAGGAAGATTTTTAACTTGAGGAAGCGAATCCCTTGGTGCTTCTGAACTTGACAGTATGGGTTTAGCTTTTTCATAACTAGAACTCACAGAATTTCCTTTAGTCCTTCACAACAAAAGTACAAAACCTAAAAACCCTCAAACAAATGAAGATTCTTAAAACGGTTTAATAATTATTGTTTTCTGATAATAAAAAAAAAAAGGTTATTTACAGGTTCTATTCAGCTCCAGATACAAGAACCTGTAGTATAATATTTTTCTTATTAACTGAATCTGGTATAAAGTCACGGCAGTTTATTTGCAAAAGGCATTATGGGGATTATAGGCTTTTACATCAGAGCTCGTCCTAAAACTTTTTTAATCTTTGCCTTTTTATCTTTAATCTTCCCCTTTATTTATTTCTACTCTGATTGGTCCTAAAAGACCTTCCTACTGTCACATAAACACCATAATGGTAGATTGTGCTGACTTGTTTAGGGGATTTCTCATCAGTGAAGACAAATAGTTTTCTAAATTAACAACATTTTTAGTTTTAGAGGGGATTCGGTTTCCCTCGTCTTGCAACCCGTACGGAAACCCGAGTCTGGTGTACGTCCTGTAATAAAACCCGATTTTCCACGAGCTGTCAGTGGTAGGTCTGTGTGGTTTTACTCGTTGCTGTGAAAATAAGACCAGGGAGAAGCGGCGTTGTTAATTTTTATTTTTCCTCCGGGACAGCCGGCCAGTGTTGACTTGGTTGTTGACTCTGGTGACGCCACCCCAGGAGAAGCAACGCGCAGAATCATCGCAGCTGTTGGCGTGGTTCACGTCGCTCCACCGTGCTCGTTTATATACAGCTGCAGAGTTATCTGTGGGCAGCGCGGCTGCTGTTAACAGGGCTTGTATTGACTGCAGGGCGACACTCTCCACTGTAAACTGGTGGGGGATGGTGGGCAGCAGCCTGCATTCATCTGATCACACGACGTCTGTGTGCAGCCTCAGAACATTTTAAAAATAGGGCTGCAACTAATGACTATATTAATAGTCGACTAGTCACAGACTATTGAAACGATTAGTCGACTAATCGGATAATTATTACATTTTTCTTAAATTTAGCATGAGATTGCTTCAATTGTGTGAAAAATGATAATAAACTCAAGAAAGATGGGTACTTCAATGGAAAATGCATATTTTATTGAACTTTACTGCTGATAAGCCAATTCATTCTAAAAGTAAATAAAATGCCCTGTCTAACACCAATTGTGCCCAGTCAGTACAGACATTAATGCATAAATAAAATTAACGCTTCAGGTGTATGACGTGATCAACAACTAGTCGAAGTCGGCTCGATTTTCATCACTTGGCGGTCGACTTTAAAAAAAAAGTTAAGTCGTGCAGCCCTTACTGCGAGGTTGCCAAGTCTGTGCCGAGTTAACACTGCAGGCGTCAGCATTTGTAATTTACCCCCGGCAGGCAAAAAGATCCAGAGCTAAAGGCCTCCTTTTTCTAAATAAACGTAAGTAACTCTAACGCCTCTTGCCTCAAATAAAGGTCCAAGTCTAAATAGTCCAAAGTTGATGCAAAAGCTGTTTTAAATGAGCCATCTCCATCTTAAGCTGTTTTTACAAATTAAAGCTGTCAATTTGCCGCAACGCTGTGGCGGCATCAGGGAGCCTTAGGTCGTTTACAAGTGGTCAGACCCTTGGCGGTAATGTGGTGCAATTCTGTCCTTTTTACTAAGGATTAGTCGATGGTTGTACAGAGGGGGTATGGGGGCGGTCTCTGTGCTGCCGCGGACTTCCGTTTATCTTGGACATAACTTGTCGCAAAATTCGTACATCGCCATGCCGGCATGATGCGTTAATAAGACACATTGCTGCGGTAATATTACGCTGATTTCCCGGCACGGTGTGTCTTGTAAAAAGGGCTACAGTGTTGCTCAGTCACGGTAACGTCCCGCCCACCAAACTGATGGAGCGCCGTGACTGGCAGCCCACCAGACTGGCCGGGGTTCCAGT